TTATCATGCAAGCATTGGAATGGCTCCATTTGAGGCTCTGTATGGAAGGAAGTGTAGAACACCTTTGTGTTGGTATGAAACTGGAGAGGCGATCCCATATGCAGTAGATATGGTTTAGAAGCAACATGAGCAAATCAAATTGATCAGAGAAAAGATGAAAATAGCACAAGATAGGCAAATGAGTTAATATGATAAGAGGAGAAAACCTTTAGAGTTTCAGGTGAGTGATCATGTGTTTTTGAAAGTTTCATTTGTGACTGGAGTTGGAAGAGCTCTAAAATCTTGGAAGTTATCCCTTAAGTTTATTAGGCCATTTGAAATGTTAAATAAAGTTGGTCCTGTTGCTTATGAGATTGCTTTACCTCCAAATCCCTCAAACTTGCATCCTGCATTTCATGTATCTCAGCTTAGAAAGTATACTTCTAAACCTACTCATGTGATAGAACTTGATCCTGTTCAAGTGAGAGAGAATTTGTAATATGATATATGTAACACCCCGAATTTTGCAATATTAATTATTGATAATTATATAAAATCTAAAGGTATATATATGTGTGTGTATAAGCGTAAACGGATGTTGAAGATTGCATTGGATGCGTGATGATAATGTTTATGTGTATTAAGTATATGGATGTGTGTATTGTGTGTATGCATGACTGGATAGGGCTGAAATGGGCTGAGTGCCTAAGTGTAGGGCGTGTTACTGGGTTGTTCTCGCTACAGCGAGAGAATTCTCATTGTAGCGACAGGACCCTAGGAGGAAGGACCAGAACTGTCGCCTTCTCACTGTAGCGAGAGAGCGACAGTTTGGGGTGCATTTCTGGGTGCAGTTTTGCTGTAGCGAGAGGGTCTCGCTAAAGCGAGATTCTGCAGAAACTAGAGTGCAGTTTCGTCTGATATTTTTGCTGCAGCGTGATGGCATGTCGCTACAGCAAGGTGAGAATATCTCACTGTAACGAGAGTGTCGCGACCAGAAAAGGATTTAAAGGGGGTTAGGGTTCGGAGAGAGTTATTTCTCCCTCTCCCTTCGATCCTTTCAAGCCCAAAGTCCTATTCCACCGATTAATTGCCTCCAAAGTCGTTTGGGAGCTTGATTGAAGGTTGAATCCGTGTGGGGAATGCTTAGAGGTGAGTTTTAATGGTTAGGGTTCCGTTTCTCATCCCTTTTTCTCTGTTTCTGGGTTTCCTTGGGTTCTCATAGAGTTATTCCATGTGTTTTAGGACAAAATCCGTGAGGGGGAACACTTCTTGGTGGATTTAACGTGTGGGACATCAATCCGAGGTAAGGGGGGACTCTACCCTACTCTTTGTATGCGATTTACCGTTATTTAGTTGAATATTATGATGTGGCTGACTAGAGGATAGGAATTGTTGTTAAATATGATGTGGGTCAGGTGTCGTGATATATGAATATTATGTGTATGGATGAGAGAATATGTGGTTGATGGAATTTTGCTATGTATTGCGGTGTGTGAACAAATGTGGGCCAAGTGTTGTATAATATAATCGAATGTGGGTCATGTACCGTATATTACAGATAATTGTTGGTTATGTGTCGAGTGTTGTGAACGCAATGTGGGCTATGTGCCGTGTGTGAGTATGATTATTGCATGCGTGAATGGAATATGTGTGAATGGGCGTGTTAGTGCCGTTGTAATATGCTGTGAATGGTTCAACGATACACTGGGGCGGTGGGAGATGAGGACGGTAGAAATACATTGGGGAAGAGGGAGTGGTGGTGACACCGACTATGGAACAGGTGCACCACGGGCCACAGACTCTCTTCCTGACTAGACCTCTGACCATTACCTTTACTGAGCGACCCGTGACTGCCTACGTGGTATCCGTGAGGCGGGGGTAACCAGCGACCATTCATGGTGTAAGTCTGTGATCACAGTTAGTTGTTGTGCATATGCATGGATTTATGAATTATACTTGTGGATGTGAAATGCTGCTAGTGATTGTGTTTGTTTAATGTATTGGGAAATGTTCTGGAGGTGAAACTCTTCGTTGATTGTGTGTTTTTGGGTAGTGTGGAGTACTCACCCTTACATTCATTTTTAGGTAATCAAGACGATCAGCACTGGACTCAGTGAAGGGATGGATGGACTGCTATAGGACTTAGATTTTATTTTGAAATTTGTTGTAATTGAACTAGTCCTGTAGCAGTTATTTGATATTAATTTATAGCCCTTCACTTATTTTGAAATCTTTTATGAAAATTTGATTATCCAATTTGCAAAATTATTATTTAATTGAAATTAAATTTAAGGTGATACAATGTACAACTAATGAAAATTGTTGATCGCCGTATTAAGAAACTAAGGGGTAAGGATATTTCACTAGTTGAAGTAATATGAAATACTGGTGATGAGGGAGATGCCACGTGAAAAATTGAGAATAAGATGAGAGAATTATATCCTGATCTTTTTGTAACTTAGCGAATTTCAGGGACAAAATTCCTTAAAGGAGTGGAGAATTGTAACATCCTGCACTTTGATTTAAATGAAATGAGATTTATTAAAGTATAATTGGAATAGATTTGGATGAAATTTAAATTAAAAAAAAATAACGTCATCAGTAACGTCACACTGACATCATGCTGACGTCACATAAGCGTACAGTACATGTAGAATCCATGTACAGTACGCATGCACAGTATTTCTGGCGTGAATAGTGATCACAAATAGTGTTTCTGGCATGAACATTAAGGTAGTGAATAGTGTTTCTGACGATAAACAATAAATTTCAAAAAAATTTCTATAAAAAGGGGGGCTTCACACGAAATTTTCATTTCTTCACTCATATCCAAGATTCTCATAGGTTCCAAGGCTATATGTTACCATTTCTCTCATACTAAACCTTCCTAAACTTAGAATTCTCTTCAGATCTGTGATTCTATGTTCGTTCTAAAAGATTTCAAGTAAGTTTCTTTAAGTTTGAAATTAGATTTATCGTTTGTTTCTCCTCTTCTTCTTTTTCTTATGGATGTTCATGGTGTTCTTATGAAAAACTCCGTTCTAGAGTTAAATCTCTGGTTAAATCATTGTAAAAGCTCTACTTTGAGGTAAGGGGGCTATACTTTATCATTTTTCTATGTGAACTACTTGTTTTGTGTTAGATGTGGTTGTATTCTAGTAGATCTGGGTGTATTCCTATAGATTTTGGTATATTTGAGGTTGTATACGAAATATTTGTTGATTTGATGAGATTTTAATTGGTAAAACATGATTTTAATCGGTTAAATATGCTTATATTTGATATAGTTGATGATGTTGTATTGTTTCCATGAAAATAAACGGTGAAAAATACTTTTAATCGGTGGAATATACGTACTGTATACTGATTGTACACGTACTGTACGTATATGTGACGTCAGCATGACGTCAGGGTGCATTACTAATGACGTCATCTTTTTTTTTTTTTAATGTAAATTCCATCCAAATCTATTTCAATTATACTTTAATAAATCTCATTTTATTTAAATCAAAGTGTAGGATGTTCTTTGTAACATCCTTATTTTTAATTAATATAATAATAGTAGGTCTTGACCACAGAGACACCGCTTCAACTTTAGCTGGGTCAACCATAATTCCTTCACTTGACACTACGTGCCCCAGAAATTGTATTTGTGATAACCAAAATTCACATTTTAAAAACTTGGCATACAACTGCTTCTCTCCGAGAATCTGCAAAATAATTCTCAGATGCTCAGCATGTTCTTCATAACTCTTCAAATAGATCAAAATATCGTCTATGAATACCACCACAAACTGGTCCAAGTATTGATAGAAGATACGGTTCATGTAATCCATGAACACAGCCGGAGCATTAGTCACACCAAACGGCATAACTAGGTACTCATAGTGTCCATACCGAGTTCTGAACGCAGTCTTCGAAATATCGTCGATCTTCACCCGAATTTGATGGTATCCCAATCGAAGATCAATCTTTGAGAACACTAAGGCCCCTCTCAGTTGATTCATCAAATCATCTATTCTAGGAAGCAGATACTTGTTTTTGATTGTGACTTTGTTCAGTTGGTGATAATCAACACACATTCTCATGCTTCCATCCTTTTTCTTCACTAGGAGCACAGGGGCTTCCCATGGTGATACGCTCGATCTCACAAATTGTTTCTCCAGTAAATCCTCAACTTGCTTTCTTACTTCAGCCAACTCGATTGGCGACATTCGGTAAGGTGCAATGGAAATTGGACTCGCTCCCGGTATGAGATCGATCGCAAATTCAATTTCTCTCTTTGGGGGTAACTCAGTCACATCCTCTAGAAATACTCCTAAGAATTCATTCACTACCGGAATGTGCTCTATCTTCACACTCTTTTCTACCTCAGCAGAAAATAGTACCATAAAGGCTTTGGTACTGATCACCTTCCTTGAATCTCCCTCACTTAAAAGTTCTGGACATTTCGGTGTACTATCACCGAAAATAAGAGTTTTCTCTTTACAATCCAGAAGGACATGATTGGACGACAACCAATCCATTCCTAACACAATATCTAGCTGAAAAAAGGGTAGACAAATCAAATCTACCACGAAATTTCTACCATGAACAGTCATAGTACAACACATGCATACATCCGAAGTTACAACGGATTGATTTGTAGGAGTAGATACTACTACAATGTAGGGTAGAGAAGAAACAAATAATTTCAAACAATGCACACAATCCAAGGATTTAAATGAATGAGTAGCACCCGAATCAAAAAGAACATCCACCAATTTATCCTTCAATATACATTTACCTCGAATGAGGTCATCTGACTTCGCTGCTTCGGAGCCAGTCATAGAAAACACCCGGCCTTGGACATTAGACTGAGATCCTCCACTTCTCTTAGGCACTGGCCTATTACTCCCACTTACACTTCTGCTCCCTTGTGGTGCAAACCAGCAAGCACTAATCGGATGTCCCATCTTCCGGCAATGATCACACGCCGTAGTTGGCTGTGGGCAATTTTGGATTATATGGGGTCCTCCACATCAGAAGCACTTCAATAGCTCTCGAGAAACATCGGAGCCAGAACCACCCCCTCTGCAAGTTGTCACTCCACTCACTCTAGACTCAACTAGGCCAGAATAAGATCTCCTTTGACATCTTGAGGGCCTCCTATCTTGCCTCATTAGTCCTCCAACTCTTGTGTCTACCGACTTCCTTTTGGCATTCGCTTTATACACCCGACATTTACTTACCAGTGTAGGGAGATCGATCACTTGAAATACACTAACCGCCGTGCGGATACAACTCTTAGCCCGTTCTCAAACTAGGCACATAAATCCTCTTCACCTCCTTCATGTTGATAATGGGGCCAAAATTTCATCAACTCATGAAATTTGGCAGCATAATCCTCGACTGACATATCTCCTTGTTTCAGCTCTAGAAATTCCCTCGCCTTCTGTTTTTGCAAGTCCTTGGGAAAGTAGTTTCCCAGGAAACAGGTCTTAAACACTTCCCAAGTGATGTGACCCTCTTCCTGTGGCAGGGTTTGACCGGCATACTTCCACCAGTCCTCCACTTCTCCGCAGAGCATACAGGTTGCATAACCTACCTTATGCTCTTCACGGCAGCCCATAGCATTAAATATCTTCTCTATGTCAGCAATCCATCTTTGGGATCCTTCCGGATCAAATTTACCTTCAAACTTAGGAGGGTCGTGTTTCGTGAAAGACGATAACCCCCGATACTCTGTGGGTTCAGCATTAATAACTCCCGTGGGTCTACCTCTACCAGCCATTTTTCTATATAGAAAGTTCATGAACTTATCAGCAAACATCATTCACTCTAATACACATAAACATTCAAGTGAGTAAATCACACACATTCCTGTCTGGAAAACCAGACAGGCTATTCTAACAATCAATTCTCTCATGTTCCCGTTACGTAAGAATATGATAGTGCACAGCACAGACAACTAGTCCCATACCTCAGTCCGGTTTGGAAGAACTGCTCTGATACCAAAATGTAACATCCTTATTTTTAATTAATATAATAATAGTAAAAAAAATCAAAATCATCAAAATCGGAGAAATCCTGAATAACAAAGGTTTAAATCAGAAAAACTTGAATAATAAAACATTAGTCTTTAAAATTGGTAAATAAATATCAAATGTTGTAGTCATAATTTGCTTCGTAATGTACAACATATATTTGTATTTCAAATACACATAAAGTTATCAAAATAAACTAAGACCATTCATTTACATTTAAAAGTACTCAAAATAATAATGGTCCTAATGAGCAGCCTAACCACCCTTTAACCAAGTGACACTAGTCATCTCCGTGCCAATCTTCTATCATCGCTAGGTCTTTAGCAGTCAACTCGTCATCCAAGCCAAGATACTGATCGCCCGGGTCTGCAGTGACTTGAACACCTATAACATGCTCTATCGTCCATCGCAATGGTACTCTAGACTGATTATGGTCATGGTACGTAACAAGATACGTTACTGCTGCAGGGGTTCTCTCAACACCAGAAAAGATATAAATACAGAGGGTGTGATGGATTCTATATACAAACAAATCAAAAGGGATACTAAAGGCTAGCTCTAATTCAATCATCACTACCTCACTAGGCTCCTCACTATCATGTACAAGGATTCTAAAGGAATTAAATCTTTGATACTCGCCAAAAATATCATTTACTATATTTACTTCTGAACTATCCATTATTCTAATTCCCTCCCTGGGTGTCGTCATCTGGGTTCCCTAAAATGGTTACGTAAGGATGAGTCTCCACATTCATTACTAAGCATACACACTCAGATAATTCAGTAATACAGGTCAAACATTCAATATACATCATATAACTAATTCAATTATGCATTCAAATTATATTTCTCTATTTATTCTCTCATTACTTATTTCCAAACTCACTACCATTCTCATTTCCACTGTCCCTACCCTGGGAACATAGAACTAATTCAATTATGCATTCAAATTATGTTTCTCTATTTATTCTCTCATTACTTATTTCCAAACTCAGTACCATTCTCATTTCCACTATCCCTACCCTGGGATCCCTTGAGTTCTTCTTTAGCATAGATAGTTGCTGGATAGTCGCAGCTACACAGATACAACGTGTGCCGACCCAGCCCCTTTTAGGAAAAATGTGATCAGAAGTATATGTCAGGAAACGAGTGTGAGGCCTGTGGTACTCCTACTCTCATTTATAGTGCATAATTCAAGAGGAGCATCCACCACCCTTATTTCTCCAAGACTTTTCAGTCTTCTCCATCTTTCACACTCCCAGTGTACCTCTGAACTATCTATACTTGTCCTTTTCGTATTCATTCTGATTTCCTTTCTCTTTCTCTTTTATATCTCATCTTTCTATCTCTCTTTCTATTTCATTATATATTACTTTCTCATTGCCAAGGGTTATTCCTCTCGGGCTCAATACATCATACACATGCTCAGATTCACATAAAACATACTCATCATCTATCTTTCCAAACATATTTTCAAACATCACAGAGTATGTTCTAAACACATCAATCACATATTATCATTCAATACATACTCATTTCAAGCATTTTCACTCATATATATAACAGTTCCTAGCAATGATATAAAGCTCTCCTTACTGTGGGACGAAGTTTTGAAAGAGATTTTGTGAAAGGTTCTGAGAGAAAGGACCAAGATTTTCCTAGATATCACAAAAGAGAACATTTTGAGAAAGGAGATACTTAGAAAACACCCAAAAAGAAAAACAAAGCTCCAAGATTTTACTTGGAGTTGATTGATGAAGTTCCCAAGCTTGGATTTGTAAGAAAGTTGAGGTTTTGGAGAGACTTTCTAAGAAGAGAGGGTTAGGGGTCAAGAGAACAAGAGAAAACTCGAAACTTGGATTGTAATCCAAGTTTTCTAACTTGGAAACCCTTAAATACCCCAAGGCCTATTTAAAAGGTATTTTGATCTTTTTGATTAATTTTGTAACTTGTATTTAATTTTCAATTTTTTTTCTAACTGATTGTAATCATTGTAATCCTTAATTTAAATGGTCTAAAATTATTTAATTTTTTTTTACTATTTAATCTCTACTAAAATTAAGTTGCCTTATAACAATGTTACCTAATTCTTCCTTAATTTGTATATTTTTTTGGATAAATTTTGGTAAATGTGTTTTAGTGTCTTAACTTTTCATATATTAACTAATTTTAATTTATTTAAATTGATACAATTAGTAATTAATTTAAAAGTAGTAAAATTTTGAAGTATTACACAAACCAATAAATGAAAAACAGAAAAATGATAGAAAGAATAAAAAGTAGAGATGATTTTGCCTATACTCCTTTTATGACTTAAGGAAATTTTAGACTTTTTTTTTTCATACTTTTATACAATTTACTTAATTTATTTAAGCCAAAATAAAATAGGACTTCAGTTTCTGTAAGTTCTTTAATTTCTTATTTAAAAATAAATAAATTTTTAAAGTAAAAGAAAAAAATAGAAGATTTTTTGTTCTATTTGATAAATTTAAGATTTGAATACAAAAAAAAAATTACATTCCTCTTATGAAAATTTTATAAGATTCCAAAGTATTTAAAATTCTCAAAGGAATAATTTTGAGACTTTAAAGTGATAAATAAAACTTAAATTTACGTCTAGCAAATTATTTGGTTCACAATGCATACATGTAATTCTAGGACATAATTAATAATATTTCAAAATTATTAATTACAACAAAATTTATCATAGTATTTTTAAAACTCAAAAATTGACATTTAAAGTATTTACAGAATTTTGTCAACTTAAAATGTAAATCTAAAAAATATTACAATTCTTCAAATTATTCTAAACCCTACAAAACAATTTTCTTTCACAAGGTCGCTAAATTATGGACCTAGAGCAGATCAACTACCTTTATCTTTTCACTTTCATTTCCTAAAAAATATTAGTAAGGGTAAGTATTTCCTGTCCCATTAAATCTCTTTATTTGACAGAAAACTTATGCAGTACAGAAAATATTGGCTAACATATTTCTAACACACATAGATTAACAATTACGTTCAAAATACACAAATCATTATCAGAGCAGAGCACACATCCAACAATTCAATCATTTTTATAATTATTTATGATATACAATTTATAATACATGTATTCTATCACATCAATAAATATGTGATAATACATGTGTCTTAATCGCACCTATCGGTATATTACAACACATATATCATAATAGCATTAATCGACAATAAATTATAATAATATAATTTGTATGTTACTTCATGTTCAATCAATATTGTCTTAATACATGTATTACAATTATACTAATCAATATATTACAACATATGTGTTATAATTTTACTTGTCGATGAATTACAACACATATATTATAATCACACTAATTGGTATTTTTATGATACACGTATTAGTCATTCTTTTTCTTTTACTTACATTTTCTCAACAATTCACGGATATTCACTTCAATCTCATTCATCTCTTTTTTCTCATTCATTTCATTGAATTATGTCTAAATTACAGCATATCTGAACTTAGTCCACATCCCATATACTGAAGGAAAACATTTTAATCATTCTAAATCAATTAATCATACCTCCTCAACTTTTCATGACAGTCCATATCTCATTCAAGCACATGCCAAAGGTCAAACACCTCTAGACTTACACTAATCGCGCAGTTCATAAATATTTTACTGGAGATCACATTCTTTTGGTCTTGATAAAGTCTTCTATTCTAAATTTTAACATTTTTTTACTTTTGCATCATCTAATACATATATTGATCAGAAATATTAATTGATAATATCAGTAGTACATATAGATATAAATATATTGAGTAACTTATCTATGAAAATTTCTTAAAATATTGTTCGTTTATAATTGTTGTTATACAATTCTATTTTAGGTGATTCTTAAATCTAAACATGGGTTTTCATGCCAAAAATTCATTCTAACATTATATCTTCAAAAAAATACTTCAGATCTACTATTCAAAATAGTGTATTTTGAGTTTTTCATGCTAAACATACAAATAGTACTTAGGATTTAGGATTAACTCCTCTTACCTGGAAATAAGTCTTTGAGATTAAGTTCTTCATGAGATCTAGAGAAAAACTTAATGTTTTGATAGGAGATACTACCCAAAGACTAGAGTTCTTCCTAACATCAAAGAGTAGAGTACATATTATGAAAAGAGAGAACAAGAAAATAGGAAAGAGATGGAAGAGTTAAACTCTAGAACATACTTGGATTCAAGTGGAATAGACTTTCAAGTTTAGATTTAAGAGAGATTCATAATTTGAGGAGGTTTTCTTTGAGAAGGGAAAAAGAGAGAACAAAGAAGGAGATGAGAATAGTTTTTTTAGTTTGAGATATGTGTTTCTAGAAGACCAAAATCACTTAAGTACCCTTTTTTCTTAAAAATTTTCACTTGAGTGAGAAAACAAACCAAAATTGTTACTTTTTTGCTAATATTTTTGCTTGAGCAAGAGTATTTTAGCTTGAGCGAAAAGGAATATTCTCTCTATTTTTTTTAGAAAACTCTTCTATTTTGAAAACAAGAAAATGCAAATGAAAAATTAGGGTGTTACATCATACAAGTCATTATCACAACAGAGCACATACAATAAATCAATCACCTTTGTAATATTTATAACATATATTTCTACATTGATCTGTATGTCATAATACATGTATTATATCACGTTAATCAATTTGTCACAATACGTGTGTCCTAATCGCATCCATTGATGTCTTACAACATATATAT